CATAGAGAGGAAGAGGAGTGAGAAAAAACCGAGAGAATAAGGAGAGCAGATTGAAACGGAAACGAAAAAGGTAAAGAGAGAGAGAGAGAGAGAGAGAGAGAGAGATTTGGAGTGAGAGGGAAGGAGGATGAGAAAAGAAATGAGTAAGTTTAAGTTTAAAAACTCTAAAAACTCACTTTTTATGTTTTTAGATAATAAACTATATTTTTAAGTTAGTCTTGAATTCAGTTTTTTAAAATAGTTCTACCGAACAAGTTTTTAAGGTCTAAAACTTGAAAATTGTTTTTGAGTTTAAAAAGTTAGATTCAAATAGAGTACCAAACAGGTCCTAAGTCCAATCATAGTGGTAAAGGTTTCCCAAGCCTTATTTCTATACCAGGGCAAAATCAAGCATACACTCATAATAGCTCATATAGCCTGTGAGGCATAAAGCAATAAAAATCTAGAGGTACCATAAGCTCTCACATAGTTCAGAAAAGAAATAACAACGACACTTTTCAGTTCTGAGCTCGCTAAACATAATAAGGTGCTAGAAAGCAAAACGCAATTACTCCATCTCGGCTACATTGCCTTACCGTGCAAATGTTGGTATTCTGCAAACCTCAGTTTCACTTTACCACGCAGATCTTAATAACAGAGGCGACTCCAATACGATGAAGTGCCACCACAGCATCCCCAGGCGTGCACAATCCCCTCTCTGTTGCTGACTTCAGAGCAGCTTCCAGGATCACCTCTGTGGATTCTGCATCAGTAGCTTTGGCAGATCCTTCAGCCAATAGAGGAATCAACCCCCTGTAGATTAGGCTATGCCTTGCCGGAGTCTCATCACTGCAGGTCCAATCAAATGAGTCTGTGGTCAGAACTGGAACCACCACCGACAGGATAGGAACAGCAGGCCGGTACTTCGCCACCAATTTGGCTGTGCTCCCACCACGTGTCAACACAACAATGAGTTTGGCTCTGGCCTTGTTGGCTGTTCTGACAGCAGAGGATGCAAGACTCTCCAAAGGGCTCATTGGAAGGGGTGTCGACTTTATCATCTCCTTAAAGATTGCCCTGTAATCAAGGGAAGATTCTGCCTCAATACATATACGAGCCATAATTTTCACAGCAAGTTCTGGATAGGACCCAGCTGCACTCTCACCACTAAGCATGACACAATCAGTGCCATCAAGGACAGCATTAGCTACATCTGTGGCTTCAGCACGGGTTGGCCGAGGAGACTTGATCATGGATTCAAGCATCTGAGTGGCAGTGACCACAGGCTTGCCCACAAGATTACACTTATATATCATCATCTTTTGTGCCAGAAAAATTTTCTCAACTGGGATTTCCATTCCAAGATCACCACGGGCAACCATGAATGAATCTGTCTCTCGCAATATCTCGTCAAAGTTGATAACTCCCTCCTGGTTTTCAACCTATAGAAACCACAGCAAACTTTAACTGGTTAATTAATTAAAAAAAACAATTAAACATCAAAACCAAAATAGTAAAGCTATGAATCATCTTACGACATCAATGCTGGTACGATCAAACATTGAAAGCGAGGGTACTGGTGCATACCTTTGACATCAATTGTATGTTCTTGGCATGGGGTCCAAGAACTTTACGGACATTAACAAGATCTGATCCCTTGCGTACAAATGAAAGAGCAATCATATCAATCTTGTTGGGCACGCCCCATTCGAGAATATCTTCCTTATCCTTCTCCGTCAGTGTGGGAAGATCCACCACAACACCAGGAAGATTGACATTTTTTCTTTCACCCAGCATTGCAGTGTTCTCACAGCGGCACCTAACTGTACCAGCTGCCGGATCACAAGATAATACAGTGAGAGTAATGGTGCCATCTGCACATAAAATGGTATTTCTAGGCTTCAAATCCACAGCAAGCTTCTTGTAGCTCATGGAAATCATCTCTGCATCCCCCTTGATGCTGTAATCAGTAGTAATAGTAATTTCCTGCCCTTCCTTAAGTTGAATCGGTTTTCCACCCTTGAGGAATCCAGTCCGAATCTCAGGCCCCTACGAAAAGGAGATGGAACTTTCATGGGTAAACAATTCTAGTATTAGTAGCCATGTTCATAAGTCGCATAACAAAAAGAGAATGTTTTGCAAACAACATCATGAAATCATCCCTTGAGTTCAAATTGTATTATCTGATTAGAGTGTAACATTATTGTAACTACCAGCATGGTAGGAAAGAAATGAAAGTAACAAGCGCGCAGTTCAATAATAGAAAAGTGAAACATTATTGTAGACCAGACCATCTTTAATTGTTGTTAGAGTTTGTTAGAATGTGGATTAACAATTTTAATATTCTTACACTTCCTGTCATATGTAGGCTCTTTCCACCGGTAGAGCCAGCTTGTGGACTCAACTTGATATTGAGAGGATTGTGATTGCAAGAAATTGAACTTAGGATCTCATGCTCCAATACCATAATGTAGTAGTTTGCTTTCTAACAGTTATATATATTTTTGTAGCAACTTCATCTTGTAGCAAGTCTTTCTGTTGTAATAATGACCAAGACTATTCCCAGTGTTATTTCTCTCAGAAACATGGGACAGAGGCCTAGGTGATAATTATTCGTATTCATATTCATGTATGGGGCAATTTACAGGAACATATCTCTCCTAGTTAATAGGAAATGTACTACTTGTCCTCTTGATAAAAGTCATGTATGAGACAATTTACAAGAATACACCCTAGTTTGGATAATCCATTTGACCATATTCATATTATTTGATTTATGAAAAAAGTATCATATAATAAATAGGACAAACACAAGAGTTGCATTGGCTAATAACTAAGACGACGATAATTAAGACTAATGGTGAATAACACAGACAGAGACAATAAGACAAAGCTACTTATTTACTTATTCCTTCATTCATTCAAGTAATTCGCTAAAAAGCAAAGCAGGAAAACCAAAACAAACAAACAAACAAAAAAACAAGAGTAGGATGAAAATTACAAAGGAAAGTGAGGGTATACATATATATATATATATATGTTTATGTGTAGCTGCAGAAGTGTGTATGTATAGGAAAGAGAAATTGAGAAATTAATGAGGAAAAAGAGGGATAGATAGGGACCTTTGTATCAAGCATCACGGCGCAGAGGATCTGAGTGTTGTGCATGGCAGTGCGGAGATTGTCGAGGGTCTCCTGGTGGTAGTCGTGGGTGCCGTGAGAGAAGTTGAAGCGGGCGACGTTCATGCCAGCCCTGAGAAGCTTCTCGACCATGGGGACCGAGCGGGAAGAGGGGCCGAGGTGCAGACGATCTTGGTCTTGGGGATGCGGCCGTCGTTGGGGAGCTCCTTGAGTATTCCTTCTATGTCTATGTTGGCCATTCTTTGAAACTTGAATTTGATTGATTTTCTTTTCTTCTGTTCTCGGCTAGATCAGATAGATAGATCCTTGATCGGTGATGATGATGATGATGATTGATCTTCCGATTCGATTCGATTCTGAGCTGAGATTGATTAGAAATTTGAAATTTGAAACTAAACAAACGTAGCACTTCTCTCGCAGATATCAGCCTTCAAATTCATATAAAAATGAGAAGAAAGAGAGAAGTAGCTTACCAATTTACTTATCAAGCGTTGCTCGTGGCGGCGACCTGGCAGCGGGAGTAGCTGGTGTGCTTGGTATTAACCTAGACACTAGAGAGTAGCAGTAAGAAAGAAACCAGTGGACTATGACTGGACTAGACGTTGCACCTGATAGGAATTTGGGAACCACCAACCCTTTACCAACCCACTGCGCTCTCTCTTTTACTGTTTAACTAACATAAGGCTAAAAGTAAAATTAAAAGTAAAAATATTCAACCCATCAGATCGGTCTCACCATGACACCATGAGAAATATGAGAATCTTACCAGTATCTTTCTTTTTCATTTTCTTTTTCATTATCTCATTGAATAAAAGCACTCATCGTTAAACAAAAGAGATTTTGTAGTATATCTAAAATAAGACTTTGATTATCGTCAAAGATGAAGGTTTATTCATCCTTTTTTTTAATATAGATAATTTGATTTGTTAAAAAAAAAAAAAAAAAAAGTTAATACACTGCTTATCAAACTATTATTTTTTCTGAAGTAGAAATATAAATTATGGTATTCAAAACAAGAGTTGCACTTTCTTTCGAATTATTTTTAAGATTAAGGTCTATTAAATTTAACATAAAGGGCGATATGTCTGACAAAAAAAAATAAAGAAATTATTGCTTGGATTTGTTACTATTTTCTAAGTATTACATAGTAACGTTCTTCCTCTTTTAACCAAGAGATATTCAATATTATTATTGTTATTATTGATATCTAGGCTGTAATTTTTTTTTATATTTTAACCAAAAATTAAAAATAAATAAGCAAACAAATAATCAGCTTTTGGCAATTGGCAAATAAGGAGGCAGACAGCAGGCAGGCAAAATAGATGTACAGAACTTTGAAATGCCGACAGTCAGTCACCACCCAAAAGACAGTGTCCCTTGCAGTAATGGACGCGCAAAATTCTTGAGGTGCTCAAGGATTGCAATTGTTGCATCTTAATTTTTAAATGGTTAAAAAATTAAACTACTGAATACTTTGAAACAACCCAAAAAATTCTTTAATCCTTTCATTGAAAACACAGTATATATTTTGACCAAAACAAGAAAATAGGACACAAAGCCGCAACATAACATGTCTTACTAATAAAACTTATACATATATTTTGGTTATCGCAACAGTGTGCTCCTATGTACTTGTAATTTACTGAGTTAAGTTTTTTATTTTTCAAATTCTTAGACAACATGTCATGATACAACAAGACAGATGACTCAAATCAAATGTGCCTTGCCATGAAAAAATTTGCTACTGCTAATAAAAAAAACGAAAAGGTTAGGTTGCTTTGCTGCTCTCATCATGTCCTGCCCTTGACTCATAAATATAAGCTCCACTCGAAGAAAATAAGGTTTTCAATCAAACATTTTGAAAAAATAACATGCAAATCATTGGCCCAAAAACCTATCATTGATTCAATATTATCCATATTTATTTAAAGCAAAAGCAACTGCAAATGTTCATCAAAGCAGCTACCATCGTACTAGTCCATCCACTTGAAATTGCAAGTTTGCAACCAACGTAACTCTATTTCCTCTCCTAATTTGAAATGAAATGTTAACAGAAAGATGGGAAAATCCTCGTTCCGACACAACCGTGTTCGCACTGGAATGCCAAAGTAAACTATGATTAATAAACAAATGATTGCGGCACATCAACATTCTCAATTGATCCAAAATTTATATATATGGCAAACCTTGGAAATTCAGACCCTCTAACAATTTATGGTTATCAGCTCATTGCAAAGTAGCCATCCATATTGAAGTCCATAAGTTACTGAGGTACGCCAGTAGAGCTGTTAGCCATTTCCCTGACCATTGTTTTAACAAACAGTTCCCCTGCCCTATACGAGGACCGGACCTGAAAAATTAATGGATGCAAAGATTTTTTTCATCAAGAATGGTAAACTAGATAACTGCATTCAATCAAGAATAGCAACGAAAGATAATCCACAACATCTGTAAACCTGACGTTAATTTCATCTTACCAAGGGGCCACTGGCTACATAACGAAATCCAATAGACTCCCCATATTCCTTCCAGAAAACGAATTTCTCAGGGCCGACATATTCTTTGACAGTCAAATGTAATGGAGTTGGCTGCAGCAATTTAAGCAATTTAAAATCAAAATCTTTATCACCAAATTCTACTGGAATGTAACTTAGTCTCATCTGATGTTTGCCTCAGAAACAATAGAAGCGGATTGCTTATGGAAAATAAAAATTACCATGGGCCAGATTACAGCCCTTTTTCAAGCATACAACAAGAATAGACTGTCAAAAATCCAAGTCCAACCTTGGACACTCAAACACAATGACACCAGCCTTACAGTCTGTAAGTTCCAACGTATTTGCATGAAAATAGCCAAAGCTAAATACATGAAAGCTATGCTGGTTTAACCAACCTGTAAATATTGTCCAAGTGTCAATATATCAACATCTATAGCCCTTAAATCAGCCATGGTTTCCTTCAACTCATTGTCTGTTTCTCCCAGGCCCAACATTATAGAAGTTTTTGTTATCATCCCCTTCTTGCTTTGCTTTGCATGTCTTAGAACAGATAAGCTTTGCTCATACCTGCATTACCACATTAAGCAAACTTCTCCAGGCCATTGACTTCATTTCCTAGTATACAACAAATACATATGAAGCCTCGACAAGTATTGTTATGGTCCCTTTTGGCTATCATTTGTGTGACTTACCTTTATGATATGGAACTGTTACCTAAAGTACATGAAAGTTTAACCCTAGGTGCATTTTCTATCGTTGAATGTTAACTTAAACTTGGAGCATGCATAGCCCATATGTGTCAAGCCATAGTTCCAAACATGATTTTAGGAGGGAAAGATGGTATGCATGCAAATGATTTATATAATAGGTAATCCCAATTTTTAAATCAAATTTTGTAAACTAAATGATGAGGTCGTTGATGATTGAATTATTACCTAAGTGTTGATTAACGTGCTTATTTCCTATTGGTGACACATGGTTTAAAATTTTGGTTTACTTAGCATTACCCTTATATTATATGTTCGCACAAAAGCATGTCATATGGTGCAACCATCCAAGTCGGACAACGCGTGCACTTCACTACGAATTACGAAATACATAACCGAAAGACTTTAGGAAAAGAGATAAATGAAGATAAGGGGGAGTGCAGCTAGCTTACCCAGCGCGAGGGTCTCTGACAATTCGCTGGAGGCGTTTGACGGTCTCAATGTTGTGTGCAAAAACATCAAGTCCAGAGTAAAGCAGAGTGTGTACAGCCGTCAAGTCACCGCGAAAGTCGGAAGTTAAACACTCAACCATGATGTCAGGCTTGAGAGTCTACAGAGCGAAGAGAGTATGTAAACCTTGTATTGTATATTGTATTGATGAATGAAGAAGAAGTACAACAATCAATAAGTCAATCAAGCAATTAAGAGATGATTATTATTATTGTTATTCTAAAAGAAAGAAGTTGTCTGTTTCGCATTACTCTATGCTCTTATGAGAGTCTTACGTTAAAAGCCAGATCATCAGACATATAATGCATTCAACCAATCAAAGTAGTGAAACTAAAGCAAGCAAGCTGATTAATTAGCAAACCAACCAACCTTGAGGGCTTGGACGGTGCGAGCAAAATGTCCGCTTCCACCATCGGCCAGGTCATCGCGATCAACACTGGTTAAAACAATATAATCGACGCCCCAGCTGGCAACGGCGGTGGCAGTGTGGAGAGGCTCCATGGGATCGGGAGGTGGAGGAGTCCGGCTGGTCTTGACGGCACAGAAGCGACAGCCGCGGGTGCAGGTGTCTCCGAGGAGCATGATGGTGGCAGTGGAAATGCCATCGCCACCTCCATTCCAACATTCGCCGATGTTAGGGCACTGGGCCTCCTCGCACACCGTCTTGAGATTCAGACGGGACAAGGACTCCTTGACCTCCCCGTACTTGTGTCCCTGGGGGGCTTTCTGCCTTAGCCATTCCGCCTTCTTCGCATCTGGGTCTCTCCCCGTGTAAGGCCCCATTCCCACCGCCACCGCCTTACATCGTATTCCTCGTCGTCGTCCTCCTGATCGTACATTCAAGGCAGACATCCGGCCTTTCGGAACCTCAAATGAGATTGGGCCCACTGGGCATGATGATGATGATGAAACTTGGGATTGCAGCTGAATCATCATCGTCTTCAATTCTTCCTCAATTTCCTGTCTAGAATATCTAGATTTCTACAACGCAACAATCCAATCCAATCCAGGGGTTTAGGAGTTTGGACTTACGACTCTTCAACTGCAATTGCAAATACAAGGTCCAGGTGCGAGGGTGAAGGTGTGAACTGTGAAGGAGGAGGGAGAGCTTGTTAGTACCTCAAGGCGCATTCCAGTCCAATGTTCTTGTAACTGTGCTCAGCCTCACCCTTGTAACTGCCGTCATGCGTCCATTTGGTTTGGCAGGGGCCGTTGCACTTGCTATTCCTACTAATTATTTCCAGTTGTGATGTGCAAATATATATTGTTATATAAAAACTAAAATAAAATTCGTAATTCACTTGACCTATCTAATTTACTATCTTGTCATCAGTATAAATACTATTTTTCATAACTTTGTAAGCAAAGGTCCCGAAATTTTGTCATTATAAGAAAATTATCCATAAACCTTGTGGCTTAATAATATAACTTTATTAATTTTGTCTTTTTTAATTGAAATTTATTATTTTTTGGATATTTTGATTTTATTTGAAGAAAAACCTTAATTTTACAATTTATGATTATAAAAAGAGTTAAAAAGAAATGGTTAGTAACTCCCTCCACGTGGTGTTGTTTTTGTTTCGACTCTTTTACTAATTTTCTCTTATTTAATAAAATTGTTCATTTTAATAGTTGTAAAAAGGGAGTAAGATTTTTTGGTATTATGAATGTTTCATTAAATTTGTCTTCTCTCTTTATATACAAAGAGCTTATAGATATAAACCATACACGTACAATATGAAAATCCATATTATACAAACCAATAAAAAGGCCTAAAGTGGAAATTTGAGTAAACAACGATCCCCCTTTCACTTGTCAGGAAACTATGAGCCCTTAATCACCAAATTTACAACTGCACGGCAAAGTACAAAATTAAAAAATTACCAATATTTGAATGTAGCTAGCATGGACTCATTAGGAGTTACTGAGTCTGAGTTAGCCTAGTAACGTAGGTGGGTAAGAATAAGAAGAATATCAATAGGCTAGTCCTTGATTCGAAACTTGAAATGTCAAAAAAAAAAAAGAATAGAAGGTGAAAGTTCATTTAACCCAAATGACCTTCAAACTTGTTTGATACATTGCTGGTAAGAGTTGTATCCACCATCGAAGCTTTAACGTTCGGCGTCACTGGTATTGCATGGCATTTTCTTTGTCTTTCACAGATGGACTCCCATCAGCCATTATGGACGGTAGAGATTACGGTAGACTCGACGAAGTTGGACTGCAGGTCGATGATGCGGTCTCAGTCTCAAAATTATAATGTGAAAAAAAGGCAACAACTGACCTGGTCATGGAACAACAAAACAGACGGTGTGCCCAAGCAACTTGTACATCGCCACCTTATATTACTCCGTCCCCACATATATAAGTAATTTCCAAGTACATAAATCCAATAGTATCACATTTAAAAGTGAAGTTCAAACATAACTCTGTGACAAAATTTGGATTTTGAATTCCACATGATCATGAAACCAAAGAGATTTACGTTTATAAGGCGCGCCTTGAGGCTCCGTCCTCCTCCTTCACAACTTTTCTTTTCCGTGCCAAACGACGTGGATACGGTGCATGTGAATCAAGGAGAGCCGTGACCAGAATCATCTGAATCTGAACCATCAACCATCTTTTCTAACGAATCTATATCCCCTGCTTCAGAAAGTGTATGTATCCGTAACTTATCCGCATCTTCACTGGGAACAAGAGAAAATAAAAAGAGAAAAAAACATTAGTTATTAGCGCTGAAAACAGCAATCGTAAAGTTTTGTTCGGATCACAATGGAATGGACATTTCTTTTTCCCTCATTCTTTTACAAGAATTCAAAGAGCTGAAGATTAGGGATAGAGGCCTACTCAGTAACGCCAAATATTTCTTTGACAATTAAGGAGCTATCCCTCGAACAGAACTCTGGAAGCTGCAAAAATTTCCCATGAAGGTTATTGACATACTAAACTCTAAAAACCCTAATTTTCCATGAAAATAATTAACATACCAAACTAAGGGTACATAATTTACAAAATAACCAAGATGTAACAAACAAAATCATCATAAAATGCCTCAATAACAATGGAGCTTTTTTTGTGATTATCCGCAGATTTCTCAGAAAACTTTTCTGCTCTTGTATAAATTTGAGTTCTACCGATGCAGCCAATTTAATCTATAAATTTCCAGGCCAAACACTAACTCACATCATGCTTCAGCAAAAGTTCAGAATCTTGAGGCTATGGTACCAAAATGACCCATTTCTGTGCCCACAATTCATATTCAATCACTAGAGCAGTGTCACATGTTTCAGCCATCCTCATGCTTCTCACAAAACATGTTTGACCACTCCAAGGAGCATTTGAGGGCAGAAAATTTTTCCAGACAGCCCTCTCATCACAGTATACCAGTCACGCAACCAGAATTTCTCCAATGTGCAAAAATTGGTAAGGCCGTATTTGGGAACTTAAACAAAATAAGTGCAATATTTTTCTCTTATCACGAGGTAGGTTTCCACGATGTCTGACTGGACATAACCATAACTGGAAGATTACCACAATATAACCATCATGTGACCATACGAGTAAGATTTCTAGAGACAAAAAAAGAAAAAAGAAAAGGTGAGAAAAACTGAAATATACAAAGAGTATGTCAAGCTCATAATTTTGAGTGTTCAATCCCTTACCTCTGACAGATAGAAAACCTTTCCAAAAAGGGATTGAACAGCTAATTTTCTCTTGAAACCTCTTTCAGTGTAGCCTGAAACATCCATTACAACTGGGCCTGGAAGTTGAAAACACGTTGTCAGCAACTGATAGCAAAGTCTTGGAAGGAATTTCTCCAACTTTTTATGGTATGATTTTGTTAAAAGGTTAAACAGTCAATTAGTTGAATGTATTTTGGAAATCCATGGATGAAAAAAAACCAGTACGACACTAACAAGATGGACAACAACAAATAAAGAAGATAAAATGGCAAAGAGATAACGTCATCAATAGAGTAGTATTGGTAGAAAAAGCGCTATTGGAGCGCACTAGGAGCATCCATCTTTGGTAACTCATAGGTAGGAGGGAGTGGTTTACTTTCCCAACATGTCCTCATCAGATTATATATTTTCCCATGGAAAAGGCGATATTATGTAATTAGACCATACAAGTTATGAGAGCAGTTCTTCGATGAGTCAGCTTACCCTTGTCTCGTACAATTCTTCTTGAAATTTCATTCAGAATTTCAGCAACTTGAGAATCATCGAACATTGAAGCTTTTCTGAGCTGAATTAAGTTGGAAACCACGTCTGGGTTGAATGGTTTTTCATTCAAAGTATACCGAATGTACTTTCGCAAAATTTCCTCCATGCTAAAACCAGTCTAGAAATTATTAAGCAGTTGTTATCAAACTCAAAGTGGCAAAGTGTAACACAAATGAAAATTAATAGAAGGACGCAGTACTCATTCATTGGATAAACAATTTATCAATGTAAGAAGAGATATACAGCTGAACTTGAAAGTGCTTCCCCAGAAAAACCATCAATCGAATTGAATGAATAAATAATTTTGAAGAATAAGACAACAAACGCAATTGCTTGGTTCAGCAGTTGACAAAAGTGTAATCATGATATGGCAAATTATGACACTGCATCTGAATTGCATATGTAATAGTAGAAGATATGTCACCTTCTGCACAAGCTGGTGCAAGGCATCGGGTTTGACTTCATCTGCACCCCTCTGAAACAATTCGTCTATTGATTTGCATAGCATAGCATTTTTATTCACCTGTTTGTTTGTCATCATTAGACAATGAATCAATTAAGACGAAAGCAATTAGAAAATACCAAATTAACCACCATTAATTTACTTCCTAAACCCTAAACCCCAATAACCAGTGGACAGGAAAATAATAAGAAGATGAAGAAGACGAAGAAGACAATTGACCAGTTTCTTGCGTTTATGTCGAGGGGAAGAAAACTTTTTGATGGTCTTGACAAGGGCAATGACGAAAGTGAGACCGGCATAGGTGAGAGGGAGAGCCAGAATCCAAGGGAGAGAGCTGGTGCCCACTCTGGGTCCAGGAATCGCCTGTGTGACGGAGCCCGTGAACTCTACCACGTCCAAGGCCTTCTCCTGAATCCACGGTAAATCCTCTTCCACCTCTTCCACTACTTCCTCTTCTTCCGCTGCTGCTTTACTGGTTTTGATTCCAACGGAATTTGAATTCGAATGCGAATTACCCTTCGCCGCAGCCGATACAACGCCGGAAAAGGGTCTGCTTGCTTTGAGTGTCGGACTGAGAGGTCTGAAACGACGACTATTATAAGAAGGAAATACCAATAGGGGACTGTTGGCGGCGAGGCCGCGGGGAAGCAGTTTCAGTTCGAGTTGGGAAGAAAAGCAAGTCGCAGAAGCAAAAGCCATGAGCAAGTCCCTTCACTTCGCTTGCCGCTCGGAGCCAGGCCCGCAACCTTATTCTTTCGAAAATTGCAACTCTGGCCGTGGTGGGTGTGGTTAAAGTGATTTTTCAATTTTTTTCCGTTTAACAAAGTGATGTTATAAATAGGTAAAATATAGAGAGAAAACCACATGAGCGAAACAGTTGCAAAATATTATACCAACATAAACTGTTGTAGAAAGAGTAATGTATATTATTGCTATTAATTGTTTTTCTCTTCCAAGTCTAATTTGATCAAATGTAGTGCTCTATTTATAGAGCAACCTCATAGGAAACAAACAAATGACATTATTAAACTTGTGAAAGAGTTACTATATACATGTGGGCAAACATACCCACTATTTTACAACAACAGATTTTTTTTTGCCCTAATATGATAAACGGTATGGTAAGGTAATCGGAAAATAACTTCAGTGGTAAAAAAGTTCGGATTTAAAATTCGTTAGCAAATTTAATCCAAATATGATTTTTCTATTAAATATCCCTTAAATACAAAGATAAAAATGTACATTAACGTGTACATTCTCCTTCCTCGCTCCTTCCTCGTCTCTCTACTCTCTACTCTCTCTGGAAACAAAGTACAACTGAGTGGCTATCCGCTGTTGCTGCCTCGCCCACGCGTGTTATTCTTCTATGAAAGAAAAATGCTATACACGTAAACGGTTTAGAAAATATGTTTGCACAAACTGATACATATCCTATGGTGCAATCATTGGGGTCGGCCCATGCATGCAGTTCACCTGGTGTGATGATATGAATTTGGTGTGTACGTGGATAGTAAGAAATGTGATGAGTTAATATTATATTATA